TTTTGAAAAGCAAAAAAATTTTTCATTGTCCTCTGTCTACACGCCTTTGGCTGTCCTATAAACTAAAGAAAACACACTTTATATTATGCCAAGAAAAAAAAATGTAACTTTACGTGCAATAAAATCATATTTAAAACCTAGACAAGACTTTTATCCGCCCATAAAACATTGCCAGTGTATACCGACAGCGGTGTACCTTTTGGCGTGCCTCTGTGTCACCGTGAATACGTGCGTGTCAAACCGATCAATCCAAACTGACTGTTCGCACAGGAAAAAGTTCAAATTGTAGACTTCAAAAAGATTATCGGCTAAACCTTTGACGTCCAAATATTCTTTATCCAAACTTCGTTAACACTGCGCAAATTGATGCCAAGAAGCACGCTTTTTGCAACGCTTCTTTTTCCACTTCTATTGACACCATAAAACTGAAAGACAATAAAATTGGAAAGCTAAAGAAAACAATATAGTTTTAAACAGAAGAATTAGTGAAAAAAAGAAGTGCTCAAAATAAATGCATAAAAAAACTCCTTTTGCTACATAAATAGTTGAATTTTTTAAAAGTATGTATTCTGAAGTGTAAAACTATTTTTTTTTTTTTTCAAATTGTCCCTCTTTTCCTTTTCGCCTTTTGATTACGTTTATATTTTAGAAGTAGAGAAGTAGGGAGGAGAGGGAAGAAAGGAAAAATAGAAGAAGAAAATAACAGGTGAAGGAAACAAATTAAAAAGTTTAAACATATGATGGACAGTGTCATTTCATCTCCTTTTTTTTCTTTCTTTTCTAGTTTTTTTTTTTTTTTTCTGTCTACCTTTTCATTGTATATTCAGATGATCGACGTTCCTTCGTTGTGCATTCATCCATTTAAACAGTTTGGCACTAAATTCATCGCATGGCTTGTTTAAACCAAAGGAGTTGGTACTATTCCTTTAACTTTACAACCACTGGCCATCGTAACGCAGCGCATCAAAATTCGTGGCTACTATAAGCTAAAAACTGTAATCTATCAGCCTACTTTAAAGAAGCATGAAAGAAACAAAGAAAAGAGGAAAGTTTTCAAATTTATATATGCATATGGCAAAAAAAAAGTTTTTTCATCGCTTTTTTGCTGAACTTTTAAAAATTTGCTTCATCTGCTGCCCTTTTCTTCCCCCTTTCATCCTCTACATAAACCCCTATAATCACCAGTATAATGCACCTATAACTTGTATTGTTGAAAACTGAATCTGACAGAAAGCAAGAGCTATAATGCAAATGGAAATTACATATAGTTAAGCGTTTGTGTACTCGTTTATTTACACATCTAATTGAAAATTTTTAAGTCAACATTCAATTTTAAACCAATGCTTACAAATTTGTCAGTACAGTAACCGTCAAGAATCGTATTAACTATTAATTGCCGCCATTGTTACAAAAATCTAATCACCATAATGCTTCAAATAAACAAAGTGTATTTTTAAAAGGTGATAAAATCTGCAGTTTTGCACGGAAATAAAAATATTTTAGCCATTAAGCAGCAGAAAAATAAAAAAGCATATAAAGGGAAAAATAGTAGTAGCCAGAGAAGGAAAAAGTAACTTTAAAAATCTTGAAAAAAAAAGTTTTAACATATTAATAGCATCAAAAAAGGGTAATAGTCAGAAAGAAAAAGTATGTCTCAAACATATTAATATTAATAATATTCTTGCACGAAAATAACTGAATAAATTTTCGAACAAAAATAACAAAATTTGAAATTCAAAATAAAACAGATGTAGGCATACCACAGTATCCACCACAGTCATAAATACAACAAAAAACAACGACAAGGAACAGAGCCCCAACAATTGACGACTGTACAAATATATCTATTTTGAAGAAAAATAAAAAGATGAAAAGCATAGAAAAAATTGAAGAAATTTGTCTGAAAAATTTAAAACAATTTTGGGTCCTGAAACGATTATTTTGAAAAATGCAAATGTGTTGGCAAAGTATTCCGAGATTGGTTGTCTGAGCAGTGTGCGCAGAAGTGCACTTAAGGCAGTTTTTGCTTGTACCATCAGATTTGCGTTATGCAGTTGTCAAAACGTTCTCAGATTTCAGCGTCTAACCAACTAAGCCGTTTCAATCATTGTTTACGATTAAAGAGATTTGGATTGTTAAGTTAAACTATTGAGAGAAAGAAAATTTTTTTTTCTTGTATTCGTTAGATATAGTTTGAAGAAAAAAAAAAAA